TTTTGAGTACTCATTTGAGGAAAGAGGGTATAAAATGATACAAATATGCTACAATAATTCAATCAAGGCATAATTTTAAAGCTCCAGTGTATTGAATGGGTAATTCAATGAGTGGCATCTAAATGGAATAAATGAATAAATCAAAAACATAGTGAATGAACTTCCAGGACTTAGATAGTACAATGAAGTCAGATCACATAGCACAACTAAAATATGCATAGGATGAGAAAAACAAACCCTCATATTTCATAGGAATAGGAAAATTGAAGTAGAGCACAGTCAGGGAATAGTTATTCTGTGTACAGAAAGGGCCAGGAGAACAAGTAGGAGAGTTCTACAGTGTCAAAGATGAAAGATATCATTTCCTTTCTTAGGCTTAAAATACCCTGACTTTTAAAATGTTGCTGTGAAGGACAAGCACTATGCACTAACAAGAGCTTCAAATCCAATTTAGCATTTTAGGTTTTTAAAAAAACTGTGGCAGAAGCAACCAAGTGAATCCATGCTGGAGACAGCTATCAACAGGCAGGGAGCTGGTCCTGCTAACCCTACAAAGCCTGGATTCTCATTTTTTTCTACCTGTCCATTATGAATAAAAAAGAAGAGAACTAAAAAAAAAAAAGATCATTCTACTGTTCCCAGGGTAAGACAACTTAAGGTCCCTAAAGAGCTATTTCCCAAGTGATTAGACAATGGGGAAAGTGTCTATGTGTGATTCAGAGCTTTTATTGTATTGCCAAGTCCTTCATAATCCAGAAATAGATGAGAAAACTTTGATGAAATTAGAAAAGGGCAGGTTGGGTTCCATCATATAAAGGTGAAACTGCCTGGGATGGCACTAGCACCTGAGAAATGCTCTCTGTCCTCCTCCTGGCTTTTCCTGCACAACCCCCTTCCCTCTGCTGTGCTGTTTCTTAGAAACACAGCTCCCAGCAAACATCACTATTTAATATCACAATAAACAAACAGAGGGCGTGTATATGCCAAAGGCCCCTCCTACCAAACACTCTAACTTGAAATATGGTGTAGAGCTGAAGAGGAGGTTATCTACCTCCAGCTTTTGGAAAAAAGAGATTAAGGTAATATTTTAATCTCCCATTCCCCTCCTCCCTTCCAAACTGTTTCTTGTTATTTATTTAAGAAATTATATAGACCATTGGGGGGGGGAATCACATTCCAGCAATGGGGAAAATCTGACTACCTTGCATTCTTTTCTGAAATGTGAATGTTCTATCAAGATCCTAAATTTTAAATTCAGGTTTTATGTATTCTAATTCTTGCTCTGAACTGCTTCATGAATCAATTAAACCAATGGATCAATCCCATAAAAAGAACACAGACTAAGAAGATACCTTTAAAAAAGCTAGTGGCTATGTAGGCAGACAGCAAGCAGGTCATAGAATTGGCTTATATGACATATCTATCCCTATTCTGCCTGGCGAAAGAGTAAGGCAGTGGAGTTCAATGCATATCTACACATGAGGTGAAAGTGGATGTCATTATTCATTTCTTTAATCTTAAATGTATGACTGAAACATTACAATTTTCTGTGAGAGTCGGTAATTATAAAAGGAGCCTAGAAAAAAGATTCACTGTATTTAATAGGACTAAACCACTCTAAGTCATTATGCCTACAAATGCAGGTTTCACTCCCAATCTACGGCACATTCAACATTCCAACATGCATTTCATCAACTGAAGACATTGGAAGGCTTGCCTTCTACTCATTCTAACTAGTATATTCTGTAACTCTTAAGGGCAAAATATTCTACCCCATTTTCTGTAAAAGCTGGCATATGTGGAAAATAGTGATACCGTCCTTACACACCTGCATGTTTCACTTCTGAGGGTTGAAATCAACTGAGAAATATCAGTCTGGTGCTAACCTTACAGCAATCTTACAAAATAAATGCCATTATTATTATTTCCATATTGCAGATGATGAGATCAGAGATTTGTCTGAGACCAGGTGGAAAAGTCACAACAGATATGAAATTTGAATTGTTAGGCTGTAGATTTCAATTTCCACACTCCAGACTGCATCAGTTTCTATATAAACAACTTAAATTCACAGACTTTTAATCTTTGATACATGAGTGGTCCTGGGCCCCAATTTCTTCTGTTTGCATCTATATAACTTTTGCCTTTTCATTTGAATTTCCACCACCTTTGTATTTACCATAGATTTCCAAAGGCTGTGATTTCCCATCCTTTTGCACGTGAACTAACTTCTTATTAAACTGACTTACAGATTTAAGAAAAACACAGAAATAAATCAGCTAGGCAACATGATGCCTTGTGATATGGCATGTACAACTTGTTTACATTCTTCCCAAAGAGCATTTTAAAACTGAATATCGATATTATTATTGCTTCTGTTTTCCCTTGAGGAGCCTCAGTCTGGAGAATCTGAAACCTGAGTTTCCTATTTCTAAATCCTTTCCTGTAATCTAATATCCAACAGAGCGTTCAGACTCTTCCCAGAGCAATAAAAAAAAACCCAGGAAGAAGTTAGAACAATTTCACCTTTGACAGAGGCTGCTGCATCAATAGGGAGAGAAAAAAACACATTATCCTATTATCAGCAGGCCTGTCAAAGAGCAGAATTAGGAACAAGAGATTTCACCAAAGCTGAAACAGCCTGTGACAGCCAGCAGCCAGACGTGAGCACCAGAGGCAGAAGAGGCTCACCTCCAAAAAATCCAATCTGCTAACAAAAAGTGCCAGATAATACCTTCAGCAACAAACAAACAGAAATAGGAAGCCTTCAGACCAGAGGCCCTCCTAATCCTATCACTTTTCTAGAGAACACATTATTCCCCCAAATAGGAAATTCCAGCACACCAATTGTAATTTCTTCTTTTTGAATGAGAGGTCTTTTCCACGGCTCCTCAATCTCACTGCAATAGGGGTGCCTGACATCACCTTTGATTTGACCCCACTATACCCTGTTAAAATAGATTCATCCAAACATGTTTTATTTGTTGTGGGAGTGGGATTTGTCTTATTTTACATTTTTTGCACGGGAGGGGCAAAATATAAAGAGTTAGGATCCATTTCCTGCTGTTAAGAACTCCAGCGGATACCAGTCTCAGCCACATTTGAGATACAGCCCTTGATATGCTATGCAAAGCTTAGTGCTGCCCTCAAGCTGATGGAAGTTGTACATTCCTTCTCTGCAGTGTCACCAATCCACTTTTTTTCCTCCACCCAGGAATTGCAGAAAATGTAAACAAACTGTGCTGTGCAAACTTCTGGCTCAGGACACTTAGCTTCCTAGGGATGCTCCTGCAGAGCAGGCCTAGCATCACTTGCTTGATTAAGCGCAGGGGAAAGGCCCAAAGGCAAGCAGCACACAAGATCCCCACCCCCAACCTAGGAAATGTGAATATCTCTTTGTCACTCTGAGGTTTGTCAGCAACTGGTTTGGACTGAATTTACTTCTCCAGTTTCCTTCTACCTGGTTTTTCGCTCACCCTTCATGATCTCAGGTAACAGCAAAGAGCCCTGATTCTCTGTGCCTAGTTGGAAATCGGAGGAGGAGGAGGAAGAAGAGAAGGACTCTCTCACACAGATCTGTGCTTTTGATCTAAAAGCAGCACCTGAGGGACATTGTGATGAAAAGCCCCTTCATCCCCACTGGCTTGCGATTAGCACAGCGCTCTGGGAGAAGAAAGCTGAAAGAAGGTGATCCAGCTTGATGCTCTTGTTCTTCTGATCTTTGTTCCCAACCCGCAGGCATACTTCATCAGCCATCAGCCTGACGGGCCCCAATATCATCTGGGGTTCAGCCCAGGCAAGGAGTTGCAGGGCTCCTACTTAGTAATGAATCTCTCCTTCTCATCTTCAAAGGTCTGTACCAAAGTCGAACACTACAAAATTCAGCAAAGCTTCTGAGACAATCAGTACTTGATATTTACCTCTCCAGCACAATACTTTGTTATGGTCTTTGCCCAGAATGGGGAGAATAGGTTTGAAACATCCAAGCACACTTTTTCCTAACCTGGCACTTGCTTGATAAGTTATAATCACAGCTCAGGGAGTTGATCGTGCGAGCCAGGAACTCTGGAAATTGTAGGAGAGGATCAAGCATGACAGTCAGTTATCACTAGGCATCTCCTCTTTTGAGTGCCAAAGATTTTTCTATTATCCTCTGAGGTTTAAACCAACAAACTTTCAAGAGACAGACTTTATTCTTTCACCTAGTTCTGACAGGGGGCAAAAACACAGACCTCTGTCTATCCCAAGCTCCACAGATACACTACATAAAACCACAGCATTTGCACAGAATATAAAGCAGATGAGTATCTTTAATATCTGTCTACTTTTAGCCTCCAGGCTAGGCTAGTTTCCCAATAAAACAGACCTCCCTTCCCATCCTCCAATAAACATCATCACGAATCTCTGGGGCCGGCCCTTGATGTGCTCCTATTGTCAGTGCACCTCTCTTTCCCTCTAGTCGCCAATCATTCTGTCCTTAGTACACCTGTGTGCATTTGCGGTGCTACTCCTCCCTCTCGAAATCTGACTGCACGGGAGCGAAAGGCAGTTTACTTCAAAAAGCGAGGCGGCTGGGGAGAGAGAAAAACACGAATGAGCGATCCTCCCAATGTTGACTAAATGGAGCCGTTTCCCGCCAGCCGCTTATCTCAAAGGGCGCCGCCAGAGTTGGAAGGATGCACGAAGAGAAGAATCGTTTGGTTTCTGCCTCAGATCCCGGCGGAGTTTTACATTCACTTGATCTTATTACCCTCAGCGACTGCAGAAGGGTACGTTGTTTCGGCACTTACAACCCTGGAGTTAAACACGCAGCCCAGAAAAAGGATTTCACTGATCAGATTACAAGGGGGCTCGAAAGCGTTCAGACATTAGGCATTAGTGATCTCCGCACAGCTTCCCAACCGAGAGACTACAGTCCTACACACGAATGCCCAGAATAGGTAACGAGCAACCCAGGTATGCTTGGATAGCTCACCCTTCTCCTCTCCCGTGGACCCTACCTTGAAGTCTGCGGAGAGCTGCGGGGTGTACTCCAGAGTCCAGAGCGCGCGTACAAGCGCCGCCAAGTGCTGAGTGACCTCCCCAGTGGCGGCTTTCGATCCAGGTCTGGGGAGACTCGGTTGATCGGGCAAAGCCAACAGGAGGAAGGCGGCGAGCAGCTCGGTGTGGCTCAGGCACTGCACCACGGCGTTCAGGAAACACGTGTTGCCGTGATTCTTGAGCCCCTGCGCGCCAGGGGTGAGCGGGCGCGGATCCCCGGAACTGGCCACAGGAGGTGGGCTCAGCGCGCCCAGCCATAGTCGGACGCTGCTGCTGCTGCTGCTGCTGCCGCCACCTGCTTGACCGCGATCGGAGCCGGGCTGCCGCTTAAAGCCGCCTTCGTCGTCTTCCGCCTCCGCGCTTTCCCGCCGCCGCCGCCGCCGCGCCCCCCGCAAAGTTTGCAGGAGACGCCGAGCCAGTTTGCTGAGGGCGCGCGTGGCTCGGCGCCTTCGCCCTGCGCCGCCGTGATGGGAAGCGGAGCTCCGGGCCCTCCCCAGAGGGGTCTGCGTACCGGGCCCGAGCTTATCCTCCGCCTCGAGTTCGCCCATCGGAGCTCGGCTGCGGCGGTCCGCTCTCCTCCGCCGAAGTGCCGCCAACAGCCTCTTCCTCCTCCCTTGCTACCTGCGCTCTCCGCCTCCCGTGAGCTCCGAGACTCTTCGCCCGGCCCCCACGGCTGCCGGCTGGGCAGGGCAGGGCAGGGCTGGGCGGGGAGACAGAGAGGAGCGGGTCGGGCTCATGGCAGGGGGCAGGCGGCCATCCTCCCGGGCCCCGCCGCGGAGGGCACGTTGCTTTTCCCGCCTCCTGAGTTCCCCGCCGGATCCGGGGCGCCTGGGGAGGTACGAGCTAGACGAGGCTTTACTTTGAAGGAGCGAAGCCAAGCGCCTCCTTCTGCTTGGCGCTCATTCGCCGGGTTCGACGCGGGAGAGGCTACAGTTTTGCGGGCGAGGCGTTGTTGTTGCTGCTGAGAAGTAGCATCCTGGGGATCGGGTGGACGAGCCTGGTATTATTCTCAGAGTTAGTAGCGGGGCAAGGGCAGGGCGCCCTGCGCTGAGCCGTCGGCCTCTTTCCGATTCCGACCTGTTCCTTGTGGGCTGCTCAGCCACGGCACGCGTGTGCCAAATTACACGATCGATTCGGTGGGGCGGGGTGTTCGGGGAGGCCTTGTATTTCCTTGCGACTGTGAATCAGCGGGAATTTTGCTCTGCCAGCTTGGTTTAATGTAACATTTTAATTCGGTTTTTATTGGGGTTTATATTGTTGTATTTTTGTATTTTTTGTATATTGTGTATAGTATCTGTTTTTTAAATATGCTGTGAACCGCCCTGAGTCCTATGGGAGAAGGGCGGTATATAAATTAAATTTGAATGAATGAATGAATGAATATATATATCAGATGGAGGAGACGGGCATAATTTTGGACATGAAGAGAAGCAGAACAGGAAAGGCCCTCCTTTTTTCAGGCAACGTCTCTGCTTGGTTCGCCCAGTATGCTGGAAAGGCACAATGCCATTATGTTAATCCATGAATATTTGTTTGGACATGGCATATTACAGTGGTGGCGAACCTATGGCACGGGTGCCAGAGGCGGCACTCAGATCGCTTTCTGTGGGCACGCGTGCCGTCGCCCCAATCCTAGGCCTTCATCTGGGTTTTATAAAACCTTTTCACTGTAAGCCTTCGCCTCCGTGTGCAAAAAAAAAAAAGGTTCAATCAATCAGTCAATTTCAACTTCTTGCGGGGAAAAAAAAAAGATCTTGCAAAATTGGAATTGATTGATTGAACTTTTTAGTCCCACCTAGTCTGCTGTTACCACTGCAGCCACGCCCACCCAATGGGCCACACCCACTCAGTGGGCCACACCCACCCAATGGGCCACACCCACCCGTCACCCAACGATGAATAAGTGGGTTTTGGGTTGCAGTTTGGGCACTCGGTCTCTAAAAGGTTCACCATCACTGGCATATTAGCTGAACACCCAAGTAGTCATATTTTACCTTCCAGATAGTTTCTGCAGTTTTCTGGGCAGTGTTTCAGAAGTGGTTTATCATTGCCTGCTTCCTTGAGTGATTGGTCCAGGATCACCCAGCTGGGTTAGTGTCCACAGTGGGATTGGAACTAACAGCCTCCCAGTTTCTAGCCAAAGGCCTTAACCACTACACCACACTGGCTCTCTGAACTTAACCAACCTAAATGTTTTCATTTAATTACTTATCAAAATGAAATAAAAGCTCCTCGCAATTTGGAATCCATAGCAAGACATGGGTATGCCATTCCAGCATCTGCCTCCCAAGAGCAACATGATGGAAGCGTACAGTATATTAAGCTCCCGCTACCAAATCACGGCTGTATACTCATTAGGTTTTACCTATGCTATCAATGAAAGCACGCACACTTCCTTAAAGTTGTTTGGGGAGGGTGGTTGAAGTCAAGGAATAGATGTTCAAAGCAGGTATCAAGGGGGCCTGTGTGACTTGATGCTTGTCCTACAAAAAGCTCAAGGCATCTACATCACTTCTTGAAGCATCAGGTCAAGCCTCTGCTGAAAGCTTGTTACTTGCATCACCTCTTAGAAGCTTTAAAATATTGATTTCCTTTGACACCAGTGAGACGCAGAATGACTGACAGGTATGTGAGAACAAGGCGAGCAGCCTAGATTGAATTGTCAAGGAAGTACTACTTTAGATAGGCTGATATTTCAGCCTTTCTCAATCCTATCTTAAAATAATTTTCAGGTCTCAGAGAATCCCAGCATAAAAATTATTATATCTACATCTTATGGTATGTTAGTTTGGTCAGTAAGCTAAGCTGCAGCACATAAAACCTCCCACTCCTAGAAGTGCTAGGATTGTGTGGTAAGCAACGTTCAAAAGTGATGTTTATTTTCTGGGGTTTTTTTTAATCACAATCTGTAGCAATCTTTCACAGAAACCTAGGGATCTATAGAATCTCAGCTGAAAAAGTATCTTCTAATGATAATGTGTATGGATCCTTATATAAGAAGCAGGGAGCATACATATATGCATACTTCCTGGTGACAGGAAGATAAAATTACTGAAGATAGAATGCAAGTAAAGTAAGACCTAAAAATGCAGGCAATCATTTCAAAACTTGGGGGCACGCTATTCTGGGTTTTCCAGGGATGTAGGGAGTCAAAGTTGGTAGTGTAATAATGTCTCAGAAGAATAGAAGTATCATTAAGGCCTGAAAATAGTGCATCCATTTAGCCCCTGCTTTACTTACAAAAGAAAGAAATGAAGCTACCAAAAATGGGCATTTTGCTAGTAAAATTCCAGTGTTATGGTTTTGGGATGCTGGGGGGGGGGGCGTCATAAAATGAATGTGTAGTGACTGGATGCTTATCCCTGCTTTAATCCTTAGTTGCAATTTTATATTCAAATTGTTTCATTTGAGGAAAATGTTCTAAAAATGCTAAAAGGGAGTCACATACACACACACACACACACACACACTTAGCATCTGATAAAGAAATTAACAGAGGTAAAAGTTAGACATCTTGAATCCTGATGGAAGCAACTAGCTTAAGGTTTGCCAAGTCCACAGCACCTCAAAACCTAAGGATTTGGTGATATCATGGGGCAGAGCCTAGGGTTGTTGCAGAATGTAAATTCTTTGAAGTCCCAAATCTGATAAGAGGATTAGTCTTGAGAACAGACTCCAGAAAGATTCAACCAAGCAGAGAAGAGGAGAGGTTATAGCTGAAAGGCCTCAAGATCTGGCAGGAAATTGGTTAAATACTGTATTCTATTTTTTATTGCTTAAAACTAAAGATCTTTTAATGAAACCTATGTTGTAAAGCATTTACTCTCAATTGACACACTTCATAAAGTTAGCATTGGTAGGCCCTGTGCAATCTATTCCTATATGGCACTACTTACCCATTTATGTGATGTATCATGTCTACATTATACTACTGTATTTGTTACTGCTGATAGACACTCATCACTTCATCTGAGCATTTTGCTACAAACAATTTGGTGTGTGCGAAACCAGTGGATGGCAATAGTTGCTGCCTCCTGCCATAAGGACAAACCTCAAAACTGAATCTCAAACCTTGGAAGGGGCCTTGTAGTCATGCTTGCTTGGAAACTGCTTATAATGTGCATATTTGTAGCTTTGGAAGCAGTATTTAGTCCAGCTTTTTTCATTTATCTTCACTTTTTCGATTGTGTTTTTAAACTGTTTTCTGTGCTATCTTAGGAAATAACTTTGAAAGCTTTTTTTAAACATAAGAGAATGTGTCTCAGAACTACAGATAGTCCTCCACTTACGACTGTTTAAAGTTATAACTGTTCAAAGTTATAACTGACCCCAAAAAGAAGACATATGACTCGGATTCAAAGTTCCATCAGTCAGGCCCCAGTGACTGAACTTCAGTTGCTTGATACTTTTATGATGGAAAACCGTCACTTTCAGTTTTTGGCAAAACTGCACCCATAACTTCATGACCACGGCATTTGCTTAACAACTGCAGACTCACTTAATGAATGTGGTGATTCATTTAACAACTGCTACAAAAAAAGCTCATAAAATTAGGTCAGTCATATTACCGACCCATTTTATGACCTTTACACCAATAATCGGTACACTCCATTATTGTCATATATTGGACTCTGCAGGTGTAAAAGCTATCCCATTTGCCCAGTGATTGCCTTGATTGTGATTGAGTCGGTTAGCTATTTCCTGAAAGACTCACTGGCACAGGTTAAACAAAAATAACAGAATACTAGAGTTGGAAGAGACCTTGGAGGTCTTCTAGTCCAACCTCCTGCTCAAGCAGAAGACCCTATACCACTCCAGACAAATGGTTGTCCAATCTTTTCTTAAAAGCCTCCAGTGACAGAGCACCCACAACTTCTGGAGGCAAACCATTCCACAGATTGATTGTTCTAACTGTGTTCTAACTGTCAGGAAATAGCATGCAGATGTTTATGGGGAAGAGCACATTGGATTGACCTAAAAAAAACACCCCATGCTTGTGCTGCCAAAAGAAACGATAGAAGTATCACTGAAAGTAGGTCCAACTCCAGGTCTCCAGAAGCATGTCTCTGTGGCTACCTTTCCAGCATTCTGTGGGCTTTCATGTTCTCTCAACTTCTTTGTTTGTCTGCATTTCTTGGACTCCTTACTCCAACTAATTGTGCCCCATCTTAATTCTGCTGGCTCTAAATGGGCGCATAATAAAAAAATGATAGGCACTCTGGAGTTTGATAATACACTGATTGATGCATTTATTATTGGGACTGATAGGTCCTTGAAGCACCAAATAAAAGAGGCAACTGTCTGTCTGGCTGGCTGCAGCAACAAATGTTCTGAGTACTTGGTGGTCATAATTCTTCATAGGAGACAGTGGTATCAAATATAAGTTATTGTTCCTTAGGATTGGAAGAAGCTGAAAATTCTTTAGCTTCCAGATGTCTGCAACAGTCTCTCCTTTACCAAAAAAGTAACTTTTTATTTCATCACCTAGCTTTTCCAAATTTGATTGCTGGTGACTTCATGGACATATCCATGCAGTTTTCTTGGTAAT